GGTGCTGTATAAGTGATAGGTTTAGCTCCCTCGTGTTTCTTCAAGAGTGACACGTGAAACACAGGATGAACCCTAGAATAAGGGGGCAATCTCAAACGGTAGGCCACAACTCCAATCTTCTCAATGACTTCATAAGAACCATAACACTTAGAGCTCAGTCTCAAACAAGCTCCTCCTGCCAAAGTTGATTGTTTGTATGGTTGGAGTTTGAGGTACACCCAATTCCCCACACTCAGGGTCCTCTCACTCCTATACTGATCAGCGAAGTATTTCATTCTTTGCTGAGCCTTAAGCATGTTGTCTTGCAGTAACTTGATGATGATAGCCCTTTGTTGAACTTCCTGAGTTGCAGCAGGCACAACACTTGCAGTAAATGGTCCCAATGGAAAAGTACAAGGCTTCTCTCCATACAAAGCTTCATAGGGAGTCATCTTGATGCTGGAATGATAGGAAGAGTTGTACCACCATTCTGCAAGTACCAGCCATTGACTCCAAGAAGAAGGTTTGTCACAGGCAAAACACATCAAATAGGTTTCAATACACTGATTTACTCTCTCTGTATGTCCATCTGTTTGTGGATGGTATGCAGTGCTAAACTTCAATTGTATACCCAGCAACTTGAGGAGTTCCTTCCAGAAGTAGCTAGTAAAGACTGCATCTCTGTCAGTGATAATGTCATTTGGCAGACCATGTAACCTGGAAACATCCTTGAAGAATATTCCAATTGTTTTAGGAGCTGTCACTGGTGGTTCTATTGCTATAAAATGAATGTATTTGGTTAATCTATCCACCACTACCAATATGGTATCATAAGGTCCTGATGGTGGTAGTTTCACACTGAAGTCCATTGAAAGACTTTTCCAAGCATGCTGAGTCACATGTTAGGCTGTAGTAACCCTGGATAGGGAACACTCTCACCTTTGTTGCGCTAACAAACTTCACAAGTAGATACAAATTCTTCCACATCTTGCTTCATTTTTGGCCAGAAGAAGAAAACCTTCAATCTTTGCGAGGTAACCACATGTCCAGAATGTCCACCAAGAGAAGAAGCATGAAAAGCCTTTAATAAAGAAGATTTGATTTCAGTCTGATTCCCCACATATATCCTTCCTTTCTTCCTTAAGACTCCCTGAATATACTGGAATTCCTGAGTAGTATTAGGATTCAAGGCCACCTTAGCTATAAAATTAGAAACCAACTGATCCCCTAGATAACTGTTGATGACTTCTTGCATCCATTGTGTATGAATGGATGAAATAGCTTAGCAGCTGCCTTCTGAATTATTTGAACTGTCATTACTACAGCAATGTTCTCTTCTGGACAAAGCATCGGCAACTGTATTATCCTTGCCTTTCTAATAGTTAATTTCATAATCAAAACCAAGTAGTTTGGTTAATCACTTGTGCTGATTAGTGTTGATGACCTTCTGTTCCATCAAATACTTCAAGGATTGGTGATCTATTCTAATGATGAAATGCACCCCAATCAAATAGTACCTCCACTTATTTACAGCCAACACCAATGCCATCAACTCCTTCTCATAGACATATAGTCCTCTATTTTTCTGATTAAATGCTTTGCTAATAAAGGCTATTGGTTGACCTTGCTGCATAAGAACTGCACCCATTCCTGTTTCACTAGCATCGGTCTCCACAATAAAAGTCTGAGAGAAATATGGAAGTTTTAAAACAGGAGCAGTGACCATGCAAGTCTTCAATCTCTGGAAGGTAGTTTGAACTTCATGATTCCAACCAAAAGCATTCTTCCTGAGGAGATTTGTTAGGGGCTTGCAGATAACTCCATAATCCTTAATAAAACGTCTGTAGTAACAAGTCAACCCTAAAAACCCCTCTTAAACTCTTAACAGAAGTAGGAACAGGCCAGTTGTTGATATATTCCACCTTCTGTTGGTCCATGCTCACTCCATTAGCAGATACCAGATGTCCCAAGTACTCTACAGATTACTGAGCAAAAGAGCATTTGGATCTTTTGGCATATAGCTGATTTGATCTCAGAATTTGAAATACTTTTCTAAGATGAATCATATGGTCTTCCAAGTTGTGGCTATAAACCAATATATCATCAAAGAAGACAAAAAAAAATTTCCTCAATTAGTTCTGAAAAATCTGGTTCATGAGTGACTAAAAGGTAGCAGGAGTATTTGTAAGGCCAAAAAGCATGACTAGAAATTCATAATGTCCACTGTGAGTCTGAAAAGTAGTTTAGCCACATCTTCATTGCTTACTAAAATCTGGTGGTACCCTGATTTGAGTTTCAACTTGGAGAAAACCGTTGGACCATTTAACTCATCTAGAAGTTCGTCAATGACTGGCATAGGAAACTTGTCTTTAATGGTCATGTCATTCAATCTTTGGTAATCCACACACATTCTCCAACTCCCATCCTTTTTCTTGACCAAAATCATAGGAGAAGCAAAAGGATTCTTACTTATTCTTGCAATGCCTTGGTCTAAAAGTTCTGAAACTTACTTTTCAATCTCAGACTTGTGTACATGAGGGCATCTGCAAGGGTGCATCTTAAAAGGCTGTGCTCCTGGTTTGAGTATAATTTGATGGTCTACTGTCCTACTAGGAGGTAAAGAATTTGGTGTTGCAAACACATCACAATACTCATCCAACAACTTGCTGATACATTCAGGCAATGGAATCTCTACCATATGATGATCTTCTTGGTTAGCACAAGATTGCAACTGCATACTCATAAACATATGTCTCTTTTCCTTGGTAAGTTCATGACAATCTTTTTCCCTTACCAATTTCATACTAGCACCCTTCTCATTGTCTTGCAAAATATATTGCCTCCCATATTTGCTAAGTCCAACATGCATTTCATCAAAGTCAAATGTGATGGGACTGTAATGTTTCATCCAATCCACACCCAAGATCATGTCGTAGCCACTAAGCTTCATTATCTTCAAATCATAATTAAACTTGTAATCCATTATTTTCCAGTGTAAGTTTGGACAAATTAGATTTCCAAAAAACCTTATTCCCATCCCTAACAGTAATAGTGAACTTTTGACATTCCTTAATAGGCAAACTCATGTTTCGGACTACCCTTCCATCTATAAAACTATCAGTACTGCCTGTTTCAATAAGGATTTTAACAATCTTGCCTTCAATCCTTCCCACAAGTAAAATAGTTTGTTTCCTGCTGTCCATAGAAAATACATGTAATGATCCTTCCTCAATGGTTAAATCATTCAAATCAATCCCTTCATCAATAAGCAACTCAGGTACATCTAATTCTTCCTTGTTATCTGACTCATCTTCTTCAGTCATTATCATGATATTAAAATGCTTGTATTTACAAACATGCCCAGGGCCAAATTTTTCTCCACATTTCAAACACAACCTATTATTGGCTCTATACTGATACTCCTCCGAACTAAGTCTTCTAACAAAATCATGATTCAGCTTTTTATTAGACTTAGGGACCATTCTTAAAGAATCAGTGGACTAAGCAGGAAACGTAAGAGTCTTGGTTACCTGATGAGGAAGAAATTTCTGTTTCTTGATACTCAATTCCAGGTTCTGTTCTTAGAGAAGTGCCAATTTGAAAGTTGCAATAAGTGATTGTGGAGAAAGCATCCTGACCATAAGGCTCACTTCTTCTTTTAATCCACTCATGAAACTGTGTATGAAGTATTCCTCAGAAAGTCTTGGATCTTGCATAAGCATCCTTGTTCTGAGTTCTTCAAACCCGTTCTGATAGTTCTTGACTGATCCTGTTTGGGATAGCTTATTGAATTCCTCGATGGGTTGATTTCTTCCAAATCGATGAAGCGTTTGAGCAATTCAGATGAGAATTCCGACCAAGAAAGCTTCCCTTTGGTGAGTTTGATGGACTGGTACCATGTATCTGCATGTTCTTCCAAGTATAGCTCCACATGATCGACCTTCTACTCCTCAAAAATTTGGTGAAGCAAAAAAAACTTAGCACATTTCCGCAGCCATTCCCGTGGTTGTTCTCCGGTGAAGGTTTGGAGTTCAATCTTAGGTTGCGTGAACCATTGTGGCCTTGTCACCTTTTCCTTGGCATTTTCTTGAACTTCCACCGACTTCCCCTTGTTGATTCCCAAAGGATTTGACGGTTTCTCTGGCAAGACAACAATCGTCGTCGCCTTGCCTGAAAAGTCCCATTCGGAGTTGGTGATTTCTCTATTACCACTAGATTATTCAAGATGGCGCCCCTAGGTTTGGAAACTGAAATCAAGATCTTCAATTGCTCAAGCATTTCAGCGAACTAAGTATCTGTACTTGCAAATTTAGACTCGAAATTGATTCTTCAATTCATCATGATTTGATTTGTTCTCAACCGCCTGTTGCAGGAGTTTCGTAGAAAATTCTGTCAACTTCTGCTCTTGGCGGCGAAGCTGGTCGTCAATCTACTTCTGCGAATGAGTCTGCGTCATGACTATTTGGTCCATAAGCCAAGGAATTAAAGCTCTGGATACCAAGTTGTCACATGCGGTTGCCGAAAATGTCAATTTCGGAAGAAGAGGGGTGCCAGAATCAACCAGAGAGTTCAAAGGATGAGAAAGATCAGATAGAGCAGTTAAGAGAGGAAACTTCCAGAAGAAGATTATGATATTATTATTCACTGCTCATTACATTTCATCATTACAGCATTAATACTCAATCATCAGCCGCCAAATCAGAATTAATGACTAAAGTTATAGCTCCTCCCCTTAAGTTTTTAAAAATGCAATCCGACCCCTAATCATGACACCCAGAACGTTTTAAATGTCCAAGATCAATTCCTTCATGGGCTTTGGACCGGGGCAAGGTTAGATGTTATGCATATTGACAATTGTAATAGTTTAGTGGTTTTATTATGTATATGAACAATTGTAATAGTTTAGTAGTTGTATTTTTTTCTTTCAATTGATGTTAGACGAATTTCTGTAAGGTTAATACAAAAATCTTTGTTTTAGAAAAAAAAGTAATGTATTGACAGCTTCCACATCTAATAGTTAAGTACTTATCGAAGTGGGTAAAAATATAATTGTTTTTTCATCCATGTAACAAACTATTATGGAAAAATAACCAGAGTTGATCACGTAATTAATTACCATCGAAGCCTAAAAAGGAGCAACAAAAAGAAAACCCTAGGCTATGGAGGAAACAGCCCTAAGGACAAATTTCTGTAAAAGCTGGCAACCTATGACCTTTACTAGGACCATAAAGTTTCTCATGGATGTGCGCGTTAACTGCTGCTTCCAATTCTTTTTCTCCCATTGACTTAGGATCGATGCCCGGAAGATCGCAAACTATATTATCCATGCCGGGCCACCACAGAGTACTACTTGTACTAATATTTCCTCCTCCTCCGATCTTGTCGTCGTTGGCGGATTTCCTGACGCCGTCGACCAAGTTTTCTAACGCCGGCGATGCGTTAGATATTTTCGACTTCTCCCTGGCTATCAGCTTATGTGAATCCGTCAAAGTCATTGTAGTGTTTGTCAAAGTGTCGTCCCCCATATACACACTTCTTGGTACGAAAGCAAAGTTTCCAAGTTTGATGTCCTTAGTAGGGTTTCCACCACCCATGATCGATTTGTTATTCTTGAAGTTTGATTCTGCCATCTGTTAGAAAAGAAAAATAAAAATCAGTTTTTGGGACACAAAAAAAAAAGCCAAGGGGTTGTGGAAAACCAGATCATATGATGAATAAATCCAAATTAAATTAACTTGATTAAAGATACTTGATCAAACAGTTAATTAAAGAAATATCATATTAAACATGTCTACGAGAAAGCTAGATAAACAATACGTACCAGAACCAGGATTTGAAGTTGAATCTGTCTTCTTCTTTGTGGAATTAATAAGAAACCCTAATTAAAGGTTGATGATCGGAACCCAATCAATAAAGAAAAATTTTGTACCTTGTGTGAAAGATTTCTATCTCTATATACACAAACTATTCGTAGTTGGGTGTTTCCAACCTAGATATGGAATTGGATACTTAATCGGAAAAGGTCATTAATTTTTATTTTATCGGCAGTCGGTACACACTGTATTTCCAAATAGATAATTGTTAAAAAGATATGGAATCCGATGGAGAAACTAAATAAATTTTTTCTAAACTCGGAAATTTCAACAAATGCGTTGATGCAAATATTAATTCACTGGAATAAAAATTTTACCGGGATGTAATAGATTAAAGAATACTTTAACAACATGGAGAAATCCAAAATAATCCTTTTTACTCTATTAAAGCAGAATAGGTTGATGTGACAACTTCTTATTAAAAAATTTTGGCTCCAAATGCACCATATTGCATTAACCATTCTGCCACGTGTCATCCTTTTTTAAAAGAAAAAAAAACTTCTTATCCGGAGAAACAAAAGCTACTTTACAAAAATAGCTACACAATTTTAACTCCCAACACTTATCATTTATCAATCAAATTAAGATAGCATTTAAATTTGCCCATAAACTTATCCCCTTTATTACTCCACATTCTTTTGTATGATTTCTGTATCGTTGTACTTTTCAAATGTGTAGATGATTTTGTAGACGATTTTTTTATTTTTATTTTTATTTTGGGCTAAAAAAAAGAAAAAAAACAAATGTGTAGCTATTTTGTTTTTTCCAATCAAAAATTTATTTATCTATTAACACAAAATTAAAGTAGAGGGGGCGCCCGGACAGATGCTCGGGCCAAGTATCTAGTATATCTTTATTACAGACAATATGCAACATACTTAACGTGTATTTTGTGTATCTTCCGGTGCCATATATCCCTTGTTCTATTTTTGTCTTTGGCTCCTTTTTGACAATTTATTAGGTGTACCCGGAAGCACTATGTTCCCCTTCCTATTTTTCTCATATGTAGTTATTATTGTTCTTTTCTTCAATATTCTTCTATTTTACAAGTTTAGTCCCTGTCATTTTTTTCTATCTCTTCTAAAAAACATCTTTAATCTTTAAACGAGTATATCTCCCAATCTGTGAAGAATTAGAGAATGCATTACACATAAAATTTATTGTTCTCGTCGAGATCTATCAAACAAACTCCATATCAAATATTTGTTTCCAACTTAAAAATGATTAAATTTCGATGGGCAGAAACAAAAAAATTTGTACCTTCATTCGGATGGATATCCAATTTAAAAATACGGATAACCAACTTATTTTACATTCATATTGTTGTGTTCCTTATATCTTTTGATCCGTAAAGAACTAGAACACGAATTATATATGAAATTTATAGTGCTCGGCGAGATCTATCCGATAAGATCAATGTTGAATATTTTTTTTTGAACTTTAAATGTATTTAAATCTTACGGGCAGAAATGAAGAAATATGTTTTCTTTTTTTTTCCTGAAAATGGTGATCCTTTGTGTTCATACTGATTATCAACCGGTTTGGACTGATTATTCATTTTGTTTGTACAGGTTATTCAATCATATTTTTGACATTCCCTCCTCTTCAGAAAAAGAAAAAAGGAAAAAAAAAATATTTGGATAAGTATTACAAACTACTTGGATAACCAGTGAAAATAATTGGATAAACAGTACAAACTGGTTGGATAACCAGTACAAAAAAATTGGACAATCATTTTCATAAAAGAGCAAGGAGAAAAAAGTTGGATAACTATCATCAAGAAGTTGGATAATCAATAGGGTGGATATCCAGTTTAAGATGATGGATAACCAACTCATTTTAAATTGGTTTGAACTGGTTATTCATTTTGTTTGTACTGCTTATCCATTTGGTTTGTATGTCTATCCAACTTGTTTTATAGTTTTAATCCAACGGGTTTGTATGCATATCCAACTTGTTTGTACTTGATATTTATCCAACTTGTTTGTACTCGATATCCATCAATTTGGTTTGTATGTATATCCAACTTGTGTGTACTGGTTATCCAACGGATTTATGTGCCTATATATCCAAATTATTTATACTGGTTATCTAATCATTTTTTTTGTTTGAAAAAAACCATTGTCCAATACGCTAATACTGATTATCCATTTTGTTTATGTCGCTTATCCAATCGTTCTTTTTCTCTTTGAAACGCGGTTATCCAACGTGTTCGTAGTGATTATCCTATCACTTTGTATTAGTTATTCAATTATTTTTACTATTTGTCTAAATAAGTTTTTATTGCTTGTCCAATCATTTTTTCATTTTTTCTTCTCTCGAGAAAATGCTTGTCCAATTAATGTATTCGTACTCATTATCTAATCCTATACTTAAGCCTGGCAAAACTGACCCGTGACCTGCGGGTAAACCCAACCCGTCCACCGTTCTGACCCGTATGGGTTGGGTTAAACGGGTCGCGGGTTAAGAATAATTCTTCAAGTACGGGTTGGGTTGGATTGGGTTGCCTCAACCCGCGGGTCAAGACGGGTCACAAAGAAAAAATAGAAATCTCATTTTTTGGCATTTTGCAGCAGAAACTTGTATCAAACTAGGGCTGTCATCGAGCCGAGTCGAGCCCGAGTTTACTTATGTTCGAACTCGGCTCGAGTCTTTTTATACAGAACTCGAATTCGACTCGAACGAGTTCGAGTCAAAAATTTTGAGCTCGAGCTCGGCTCGAAAAGCTCGAGGTGAAAAAAGGATCTAGCCAACAAACATCAACTGGAATAAAAAATAACCCAAACGAGGCGAAAAAATCCAGTAGTTCATCAAAATTACGTGCTAAGTCCCAAATCAAGAAAGCAAATTAAACAAAAAAAAAAAAAAAACAAACGAGAGGAGAATTGATCTAATTTATTATCATAAAAGACCAAAGTTTTGCATAAACAACAATCAGAGAACGAAGAAAGAGAGAGGAAGTAGGAAGTTCAGGAAGATTCAATTTGTTTGAGAATAATTCCTTCGATTTTTCTTGCCTCACTTAAAGATTCAGATCTGGCGGAGAAAATTAGATCTACCGGTTAACATGGTATAATAGCTAGTCTAGAGTGGATGCATATATGTGTGTGTGCGTGTGGAGCTGGGTTTTGCCAATATTGAAGAAGAAGAAGAAAAAGCTAAAAATAAGAATGGTGGCTGGGGGAGAAATCTGTGGATGGGGAAGAGATCAGAAAGAAAGAAATGGTGGTAGTTTAATTTTTTTAGTCTTAAATGTTAACTTTTAACTATAAAGAATAGTGTGGTGGGACAACTCTTTAACACATTGTTAATATTTCCAAATATAAAATATATGCAAGGGGTCAGCTCGATAGGCTCGACGAGCCACCGAGCTTAATTTATTCTGGCTCGAACTCGACTCGAAAATATAGTGTGCCAACTCGAGTTCGGCTCGAACTCGGTCAACTCAAGCTCGAGCCGAGTTTTGACCGAGCCGACTCGCGAACAACTTGCGAGCGGCTTGACTTGTTTACAGCCCTATATCAAACGAATGTTCTTCGGCACTGTATTTCATAGCCGCAGTATCCATCTTTGTCCAGATCTGCAACTTGAATCTTAAAACCCAGCAACTAATTTCTTCTTTGTTTCTTTTTGTACTTTAAAAAGAAAGAGATTCAATTGTAGCAGGTTGGTGGCAACTAGATAGAAATTTATAAATTTGTATTGCTGTGGAAGGGAAAAGAAACCGGGGCTGGAGATGGCTGCGGGATAGTGGGGTTTCGGGCTTTGGAAGGAGGGGAGGAGGATGGAGAACTGATGGCCGGGAAGAAATGCTCTAATTTTGGCCCCTTAGAATTTTGTGAGGAATTTTTTTTTCTTTTTTTTTTTTGGTCAAAGATTGGGGATGGAAAGAAGAAGTACAGTCGTCGGATTTAATGGAATTAATTGGAGATAGATTCAAGTTCAACTAGCATATCGTGACCTGATTCATGGGTTGACCCGGTTCTATGGATCGAACCAGTAAATTGTGTCGCAAAACGTGAAATTTTGAAGTTCAATGAGTTATAAAATATAAGTGTACATTTTATTTGAACCAAAAAGTAAAAAAAAATTGACCCGGGGATCGACCCATCTAAACTTTGCTCGGAACTTGAAATTTTAAAGTCCAACGAGTTATAAAAAATAAATGTAGACTTTATTTCAAAAAGAATCCAAATTCGACCCGCGTATCGTGAATTGGTTGTTGGGTCGATCCAGTTCGATCGACGAGTCAACCCAATTAAATTTTACTCAACACGTGAGAATTTAAAGTCCAACGAGTTTTAAAAAATAAATATAGATTTTATTTGGAAAAAAAAATCCGAGTTCGATCCGCGTATCGTGAGACGATTACTGGGTCGACCCAGTTCGACTCACGGGCTGACCCAGTTAAACTTCACTCGGAACGTTAAATTTAAAGTCCAAAGAGTTTTAAAAAATAAATGTAGAGTTTATTTAGACAAAAAATTCGATTCGACCCGCGTATCGTGAGCCAGTTGCCGGGTCGACCCTGTTCAACCCCCGAGCCGAGCCAGTTAAACTTTGCTCGAAACGTGAAAATTTAAATGCAAAAGAGTTTTCAAAGATAAATTTAGATTTTATTTGAAAAAAAAATCCCAATTCGGCCTGCATATCGTGATATGGTTACTGGGTCAACCCAGTTCGACCCAATTAAACTTGGTTTGAAACGTGAAAATTTTATAGTCCAACGAGTTTTAAAAGGTAAATATAGATTTTATTTGAAAAAAATCTTAATTCGACCCGCGTATTGTGACCCGGTTATTGGGTCGAACCAGTTCGACCCACGGGTCGACCCAGTTAAACCTGGCTCGAAACGTGAAAATTTTATAGTTCAACGAGTTTTAAAAGATAAATATAGATTTTATCTGAAAAAAATCTCAATTCGACCCGCGTATCGTGATCCGATGACTGGGTCGACCCAGTTCGACCCACGGGTTGATCCAATTAAACTTGGGCCGAAACGTGAAAATTTTATA